GGGTGATTTGGGGAGCCGTCAGAACAAGTATGAGGCAGTATGCAGGGGCTGTTTCGGCAGGAGGAAGAACAGTTGCCACTTTCACTTGCGTTAGCGACTGAAGAACCCCATTACTCCCCCGGCAGCTGTCAGCACACCTTTTGTAGCAAGAGAAAGTCCCGCAGCACCTGAAACAGAGGAAATGTTACCCCAGTTCATTAGCTGTCCGAGCAGGCCTGTTAAGCCTTTTCTTTGTTGCAACCCTTTCCAGCAACGTTCATGCTAACACGAGCTAACCCAGGGCACAACCCGACAAACGACCCTTCGTCGTTCTTGGCCTAGATGTAATGGATTTCGTTCTGAAATCGGCTGGCCTTTTCCCAGGACTAGTAAAACGGCCATGTGCTTGGTTCACCTCCCACAGAACACTTGGGAATCTCTGTATTCCTCTGTCTTTGTTCATTTCACTCTAATGCAGAACAGGGAGTGAGCCCAGTCCAAAGCTAGAGTGGATTTCATCATAGAAGGCTTCCTTGGGCCATAGCCTGTAAGGGCCATGGGTGGCTTATGTGAGCAACCGTCGCTTCTTTCTAATCTTTTTCCCCTCCTCGCACTCGCTTCTCCTGGGCGCTGAGAAAACTGTCCTCTAGGTCAGGGGTGGACAAGATACGGCCCTGCCAGGCCTCTCAGGCACGGAGCAGCTCCACACTGTTCTAAGCGACTGGCTGCTTCCTGTGGCTCACGGCTCTGGGAAGCAAAGAAGAAGGGGGAGACTGTGCATGCTGCCCCTGCACCCCAGCAAAATCTCTCCACTCCCATTGGCCAGTTTCCAGCCAATAGGAGCGGAGAGATTTTGCTGGGGGATGGGGGGCAGCGTGAAGCCTCCCCCTCCCCCCAGAGCCCATAACAGAGTCACAGGGAGCAGCCAGCCATTTTGAGCCACCTGGGACTGTGGTGGGCAGGGAGCTGCTCTGAATTCTGCACTTAGTCCCCTACCTTGATCTCCCTTCTGCACCCAAACTGCATCCCAGACCCCACACCCCTCCATAGACAGGTGCAGCCCTTGACCACTTACCAAAATGTTGGCATGCCCCCCCCATAAAAAATTATTGCCAACCTTGCTCTAGATCAGTGGCTCCCAAACTTATAGGCATCACACCCCCTTTTTCATTTTTGAGAAACCCTCGCCCCTCCCCCAAAAATAGCAGCAAAACTTGAGCCAAAAAAAAAAGTTGCTCTTTTAAGAGCAGTACAGGCATTGCCCTTTTAAGATGGCCATTTTGAAGTCTGTGCAAGAGACTCCATCCTCTCCTGAATTTTTTTACCAGAGGGACCAGGCTTTTTCTTGGGGAGGGGATTGATGCTGGGTCACCTTGTGCCCCCCCAGAATTTCTTCATGCCCCCTTAGGGGGGTACTCCCCCCAGTTTGGGAACCTATGCTCTAGATGGTGCTTGGTTCTGCCGCTAGGGCAGGGGACTGGACTCGATGACCTCTCGGGATCCCTTCCAGGTCTAGTGGTCTGTGATTCTATGAAAACCAAAAAACATTCTAGTATCTGCGTGTTTGTGTTCCCCTGCACTGCAGTGACGGCCTCGTGCAATTGCACGTGCACCTGGTTCCATGCTGGGATGCAGCTAGTGTCCCTTACTCAACATCTCCTGGCTGGCTAGATCTGCGAGTCTGAAGAAGCATTCCCCATGGCCATAGGAAATAATGCCACCGCTTGTCCAATCCCATTGCTTGCTTCAGACAGTTTCATCATAACAGCAGAGGTGAAAGGAGCCAATGCAGAACTTGGGTAAGAAACTGCCAGCTGGGGCACTGAGCTGCAGGGGGAGGAAGGAAGCGAGGGGTGCTCCCAGCCTGGCTTCCTGGGCTGCCTGCAGGCTGCTGTGCTAGAAGCAGGCAGCCTGGCAGGTTAGAGGGGTGGGCTGGGGTGACTAGGACTGCCCTGGCCCGCTGCAATATCAGGGTGGGGGGCTGCAGCTGCTCTTACCCCAGTTGTGGAATTTTTTTTCCTTTTTGTTGGGTAGAGAGCGAGGCAAAGCGCACCGCCTGCTCTGGCTCCTGGCTGCCAGGGGAGGGCAGAGGAGCAAAGTGCACAGCCTGTGGCTTTCCCTCGCTCCCTAGTCAGCAAACAGGGGGAGGGGGGGAGCAATGGGGAAAAAGGGGCTGCAGCCCCCCCACTGCTCTTACCCCAGTTGTGGAATTTTTTTTCCTTTTTGTTGGGTAGAGAGCGAGGCAAAGCGCACCGCCTGCTCTGGCTCCTGGCTGCCAGGGGAGGGCAGAGGAGCAAAGTGCACAGCCTGTGGCTTTCCCTCGCTCCCTAGTCAGCAAACAGGGGGAGGGGGGGAGCAATGGGGAAAAAGGGGCTGCAGCCCCCCCACCCCAACC